GTGAAGGAGAGCACCGCCATGGATGCGAAAGGAGGTGGTTAGAGGGATTAGATAGAGGGAAAGAGGAACCTCAGTAGGAAATGGGTACTGGGGCAAATAGACAAAAGGGTATACCACCCGTTGCAGAAGGATTCTTTGCAAGGCTAAGGCTGATTACGAGCTGAGACTTGCCAAGAATATCAAGAGCAACAAAAAGGGCTTCTTTCAGCATGTAAATAGGAAGGGGAGGCAAGTAGTGAGACCACTAAATAAGGAGGAAGGAGATCCAGTGACTGATATGAGGGAACAGGCACAGATGCTAAATGACTATTTTGCCTCCCCAAAGCAGGACGGGGGAGATCCGCATAGGAGATTAGATGAGGCCGAGGACTTAGGGGCACAGATTAGAGTCACCCCCCTTGAAGGGCTCCTCAGGGCATTGGACATTACAAAGGCACCAGGCCCTGACGGGTTACATCTGAGAGTACTAGAGAGTTGGCAGGGGTTCTTTCATGCCCGCTGGCCTCCATTTTTGAGGCCTTGTGGAGAACGGGTGAAGTTCCAGAGGACTGGAGGGTGGCATCAGTGGTCCCAATTTTCAAAAAGGGTAGTAGAAGTGACATGGGGAATTACAGACCAGTTAGCCTTAGTCCATTGTAGGAAAAACAATGGAAAGGCTCGTAATAGAGACAGATCTAGTGATGCTAGATAGGGAAGGGAGGCTGACAGTCACACAACACAGCTTCCGCAAAAACAGGTCCTGCCAGACAAACCTTGTGGAATTCTATGACAAGATTTCAAGTTGGCTAGCTGGAGGGGATGCAGTAGATGTAGTTTACCTGGATTTCAGCAAGGCCTTTGACAAAGTGCCCCATGGTATCCTGGTGGAGAAACTGAGGAGTTTTGGGATACACCAAAACACCGTCTGGTGGATTAGGGCATGGTTGACTGACCGAAAGCAGAGGGTAACCATTAGTGGGGAATCATCGGGATGGCAGCCAGTGACAAGCGGGGTCCCCCAGGGCTCTGTCGTGGGGCCGATCCTGTTTAATCTTTTCATAAATGACATGGAAGAAGGGGTGAACAGTCTGCTGATCAAATTTGCAGAGGATACTAAAACTGGAGCAGTGGCCACAACTGAGGAGCAGGTACTCCAGATCCAAAAGGATCTGGACAGACTATGGAAGTGGGTAGGAGACAACAGGATGGCATTCAATGTGGATAAGTGCAAGGTCTTGCACTTGGGGCATAGGAAAAGGTGTCATAAGTATAGGTTAGGGGACAAGTTACTGGAGAGCAGGACTTGTGAAAGGGACCTCAGGGTACTGGTTGACTGCAGGCTAAACATGAGTCAGCAGTGTGATGCGGTGGTCAAGAGGGCGAACACCACCCTTGGTTGCATAGCCAGAAGTGTGGCTTCTAGATCGAGAGAGGTATTACTACCACTCTATATGACTCTGGTGTGCAATTTCCACCCACAAATTGTGCTCAGCTTTGGGCCCCTTATTACAGAAAGGATATAGCCAGGTTAGAGTCAGTGCAGTGCAGGGCCACAGGGTTGGTGGCAGGTTTGCAGGAGATGAGGTATGAGGTGAGACTGAGGGAACTAGGTCTCTTCAGCCTGGAGAAGAGAAGACTCAGAAGGGATCTGTTGGCGACATACAGGTATGTGAGGGTATCACATGGAGATGGGTAGCGACCTGTTCTCCCCTGCAGGGGAAGGCAAGATGTGCGCCAACAGAGCAAAGCTCAGGGAACCAAGGTTCCATTTAGATACCAGGAAGCAGTTCCTGACAGTTAGGACCCCAAGGGTATGGAATGGGCTTCCACGAGAGGTTGTAGAGGCCCCATCGGTGAGGGTGTTTAAAGATAGGCTGGACATGCACATGGTGGGCATGTCGTGAGCAGAGCTGGCTGGAGCCAGGGGTCAGACTAGATGGCCTGGGAGGTCCCTTCTGACTCGCTCTGTTTCTATGTTTCTAATCTGCATCTCTTGAAGTGCCATGCTAACAGCAACTCTGTAATATGTGAACAATGGTAAAGAAATCAATTCATTTGTTTAATCAATTTCCATACCACCTAACAGCCAAACTTCTGTAACTCAAATGCATGGCAGTCAGATATACTACTGTGCCAGATAAACCACAAGGAACTATCTCTTGTTCCAGGCCTTCCCATCTCTCTCATGTTAACTGGGCTGGATCCAGAATAGCACTTAACAGAGTTCTGCTCACACCATTTGTAGCCCCATGTGCCTCACAACAGGAAATTAGGCAGAAAAGGGAACAGGCAACAACCATCTCTCTGCCTCCATTACCTCCAGTAGAGAGTGTCTATGGATCCAACTGATTATATATAACCAAACTATTCGGCTCTATTAAAGCTGTGGTCCAACTACTAATATGTGTTTGTAAGTTTATGAATTTGTATCTCTAACAATAAAAGCAAAAGTCACCATCCTTCCCAATATGAAGGTGCTTTTGAAAGTAAGTTTATGGAAACAGTAGTAAGAATCAATGCATGTGCATGCAGCACATCTTCCCAAACCTTGTCCTAGTTCCAGCACTGCATTTCCCAGTGAAAGCTAGTGGGAATTTGAGTATACCCACAATAGGGAGAAGGAGGAGGAAGCATATCTGCTTCCCATCAGGAGCTGCTGTGAACACAGTGGGAGTGCTGCACTTTAAAGGCAAACTGTCAAGGTTAGTAGGCCTCAAAAATGCAACCTACTTTTTAGCTGTTTGACTGTATTTTTGCAGAATCCACAGTGCTCCTTGGGAAGGTTCTGAAATCTCTTCAAAAGAAGTTACTAACATTTAATTAATTGTTTCAGGACAAATGTTTCAGCTCCACACCTGCACCCCGACACCCATGAAGAGCCTTCTAAGAGCAGTTCCTGCCTATCATTATGGAACACTACACAAAACAACTGAGGATGCCTCATATGTCACTTTTTCCAACACAGCTATCAATCTGATACCAGAAGCTGATATAATTGGTGTACCCCAGCCACAAAAACCAAGGAAAAAGAGAGTTTCTTATTTTTGCCATTCATGTTCCAACCTGCATTTTTTCCCCCTCAGCATGCGATTTCTGGGTTGGTTGCAAAAGAAAGGATATGCACATGCAGGAGCAAACCACACAAGTAGCCACAGCTTTGGGGTTTGTTTTCATTGCAGGGATTTCAAAGAAGCAGACTACTGATTTGTTTAAAAAACAGTTTGCCTCTTCATCACTGGAAAATAATCAAGCGAAAGAAGAAAATGAAGTTCTTTCTATTGACATGACTTTTTTTCCTATGTGAGCATAATCCAGATTTGGCTTGTGGCCAGAGTCAGAAAAAAGTGTCCCCTCTCTTATAAAGAACTCTTAACAGTACATTATTAAAGTACATGAAATGCAAAACACAATGGCTGATGTAACGCTTAAATATAGTTAAGGTCTACATGCATGAGCTGGTATGAGCCCAAGCAAAGTCTCGGACTTGTATGCTCCCCCATTCCCCTTCTCCTCCTCCCCTGCAGCTGGAAGAAGCACTTCGCCAGCATTCAACGTCACTAATCTCAGCTTATCATTTTGCATGAACCAAATATCACAGTTCATCATACATTCTGGTAAGCCATGAAGTGAAATTGGCTGGGCTTGATAAACTTGAAAGGAAACAACAAAGCAGTAGCAAAGTCCTTCTCTTGGCTTTGAAGGAGAAAGAGAGGGGAAGGGGAACACACTTGTCCAAGACTTTGATTAGGTTCATTAGAACTTATGAACACAATACCAAGTAACAGTTTAGCTCTATGTAGAAATGTAGCCATAATTTTAAAAAAACCAAACAAGATCCAGATAAGGTCATGCCCACAAATTTACAATGAGACAAAAATAAAGGACAAAGGAGAGGAGAATAAGAACATGAATTAAGGAAATCAAGACAAAAATAAATACACAGGTCTTCAACAAGTTGGGAATGAGGTAGCCATCTAAGTATCAAGGACATTGCGTTCCAAACAGTAATGTGAAGTTAGTGAAATGGGGCATAGATAAAAGAAGAGACCCTGTATTTAAAGTAGTTGGTTCTTGATGACCAAAAGATTTGAGGTGGAGCACAGAAAGGCAAAAGAAAAAAAGAGATGAGAAGAAGAGAAGGATGATTTTAAGAGCTATAGTAGGTTATAATTATTTTTAATCATTATCATCATGGGCAGGAGAAGATGATTAAGTAAGAATTTAGGAGATCAGTTAGAAATGGAACTAAGGGAGATCAGATAAGAAAAACTACTGCCTGACCTGGCCTGTCTCATTCCTGATGTGTGGGGAGCAAGGCTAGTCTTCCTCACCTACGTGTTCCAGACTGGGCTCTTTCAACCTCTAGCTCACATATCTTCCTCCCTGTGCCTTGTTTTCTAGCACAGGTCCTCTCCAACTATAACCTCTCTAGCTCACACCTATCTTCACAAACAGTTTTGCACCTCAAGCAGAGCTAGAAAAGGAAACCCACTGACCTATCCCTGTTTCTAGCCTCAAGCTTGCACAGCTGGCCTGACACATGTTGGCCAGATTGCTGATAACTCAGGTATATTTCAGAGGAATTCAGAGATATCTTTCAGGTACCATAGTGAGTTTCATATAGTTCTGGCTATTATAAATTTCCCTAAAAAGCCTACAATGTACTGGAACAGGAATCAGAGTAGGAGCACAGCTTCTTTCTCACGTGTAAAAAAATAGGCTGCCCCAAACGTGCTGAGCTATCATTCTTGCATTCTATGCACAAAACTAAATGCCTGAACTCTTTATGAAGTTTTAATATTTTATGTTTACTTTTACTGTTTTAAAATGACTTCAGAGGTTTAGAGAAAGAGTACTAAATCCAGTCATTTTCAAAGTGGCAAAAAAGGCTTACTACACTTCTCAAAGAAACAGTGCCTGTTTTATAATACATCTGATTAGGTTCTGCTTTTGTTTTACAATTCTTTTATCAATCTCCAGACTGGAAAAAAACAGAAAGAAAACAAGGGTTGGTTGCTTACCTCTTGCAACAACACTTAACAGGAAAGTGAGTGCAGATATACATCACTCATCAAAAGATCCTTCTCAAGTAAACCAGGCACTGTAAGCAACATTAATATTTGCTTTATATGCTAGAACAGAATAAAGAGAGCCAGAGTCAAGCACCAGCCACTGCATTACATGTTCTTGGTTTTCAGACTAACCAGACAGTTCAGAACTACTTCACAATCCATCAGCACAGACCCTATAGCAGCAGCCCTTGCTACTAAACAGCCAACTCAGGAAATTCTCAGAGAGGCAGACAACAGTCCTGCAGGGTCCACTCCAGCCAACACAAGATGTTTTATTATTTATAGCATTTATAGTCTGCTCTGCTAGTTAAAGAAAGTTACCCAAAAAAGTCACACTAAAACAATCAAACATCTACTATGACAGTAGGACAATTTTAAAAATGCATTAGGAATGGATAAAAGCAACAAATAATTCAGTTAAAATCCTTGAAGAACAAAAAGTTCTTGATCCAAAGCCAGAAGAACCTCAATATTGGCAGTTTACCAGCTGGCCCGAAAAGGCACCTACACTGAAAAGGCACCACCCTCTTAACCTCCGATGCAGGGGTACTCACATGAATATCTACAAAGTCTTAAAGATTAGGTTGTTGTTGTTAGTCTTTAAGTCATGTCTGACCTTCCATGACCCCATGGACAACATTCCTCCAGGCCTTCCTGTCCTCCACCATCCCCCGGAATCCACTTAAGCTCACACCAACTGCTTCAGTGACTCCATCTAGCCACCTCATTCTCTACCGGCCCCATTTTCTTTTGCCATCTATTGTTCCCAACATTAGGCTCTTCTCCAGGGAGTCCTTCCTTCTCATTAGGTGGCCAAAATATTTGAGTTTCATCTTCAGTATCTGGCCTTCTAAAGAGCAGTCTGGGCTGATCTCCTCTAGCACTGACCGATTTGATCACCTTGTGGTCCAAGGGACTCGCAGGAGTCTCCTCCAGCACCTTTAAGATTAGGTAGGTTCACGCAAGTTCGATCTTTACAAACCCATGCCCTAGATCAGAAAATTGCTGTCAGAACCATGTTCATACATGGAACACTACTTCCCTCAAGCTTGTGTTTGTCTGTGTTCATGTGCAAGAAGTAAATAGTAAAGTTACATGCACGTAAGACATCCATGTGTCTTATTCAAGTGCTATGCTTGAATAGGATATACAAAGATATGTAAGAGGGATGAAGCTGCTACACTAACTCCACTCCCAATATTCCCACTTCCCTCTGGTAAACAAGGAGGTCTGCAGGGAGCTTCTACTAACATTTGATAGCATTCAAAGAAAAGCCTCTTTGTGGTAGGAAACCTGCCTGCTCAGGAGAAGGGTACTTGAAGGATTGCCTGGCCCTGTCTGTCTCTCCCTACCTGTCCCTACCATCTGAGATGAACTGGGTAGCTTCCAGGAAGAGGGGCTTTTAGGTGCTAGATAAATCACAGAATGATCTCCCCAGAAAGGCTGAGTACCTAAGTTCTTGCCTTTTTGGCACCAAGGAAACAACAATATATTTTCTGAATTTTATATTCTTAATTTGATTCTGTTTATTTTTTGTGGTGCTTTGAGTTCCACTGCCTTGCCAGTGTTTATGTTTTTTGTTGTGCAGGTGTTGTACTCTCCTCCACCTTGACCATTTGACTGGAAAGCAGTACAAAAAATTCAAAATAAATCAATTACTTTTCGGCAAACCTGCTAGTCAGGGGCAAATACAGATTCAGGCAAGATGTTCAGTGAGCAGTAGGAAAATGGCACAGGGGAGGGTAAGTGTTAACTCTTCCCACATGATCCCGATCCAGATTAAGTAACAGGTTTGTCAAGTCCTAGAGATGTTATTTAAATATGCTAGTACGGTAATGTGTAATTTGGCTCTGAGCAGCTGCTAGTATTTCCTGTTTTATTCTGAAGAGCTACACAAAGAAAAAAGAACCAGCAGATCAGAGCTTAATACAACATTACTTTTCTGATCCGAGCACATTAAGTTGGTCTACTCTGTTTCTAAACTCAACACATACTTCTGCAGTAGTCCCCAATCTAAGGAACAAACCTCATTATTGTTTCCATAGCACCAGGATAAATTGGAGATTTTCAGATAATCAGTTCTGCTATCCTGAAAGTGCTCCCCTCTCTCAAAACTAAATTTTCAGGTAGGTCAACAACTGCAGAAAAAACAGTGGAAGAATGCCCATTTGCTCAACTGAAGACAAAAAAAGAACAAACAGATGCTGGTATTATGAAGGCAGAGTGGTGAAGCCCTCTGTTTAATATTAGCTCATCTGTAGCAGAAACCCTTGAAATTATTTCAAGTATTTCCCACATCCTATCAGAACATTCAACTGAACATCTCCTTCAGGAAAGATAAACACAGCTAGTCTTCCCAGACTGGAAATGCCACTATTGAATGACAATTTTGGCTTTGCAGTTGTGAAACAGAACTAATCATCATTTCCTTCCCTATAAGACAATTCTGGTACTCATCTTTTATCCTTCCTAAGCACTCACTTTCAGATCACAAAAGAGGCAACAAATTTCACAGTCCATCAACAATATCTACTCCAAACCACCCCACTGCAAATGATTAATAAGGAAAAGGAGGTAATGTAAATGCAGTTCTAGCCAAGGCTCCAATGTCATCTTACATTATAGATAAAATAAAAATAGACTTCCAAGGTAAAACATAAATCTTGACATCCCAGCTACAAAGCATACAAGAAGGAATACACCAAGGGCAGCAATACAGATTCTCCAAGGCTAAAGGAGGTATCAGAACAAGGCAAATTGTCTGGATAAACAAGATGAAAATAATAGCCCTTCAGACTACACATGCACTAGCTAGGGGTACATGCTAACACGGGTCCTAGCAATGACAGGGTGGGGATTCACTACTGTTGTAGAAGGAGCTGCTTTACAGTGAACTGTACATCTAGCACAGTCCGTCTAGCAGGTTTGTATCAACAGTCTCTTCCCAAACTTCCCATCCAAGATCATTTCAAATTGCGGTTCCAAGGAGTGAACTGGTACCCCTAACACTTGCAAAGTTTCTGCTGCACCACTGAAATATAGACAGATCTGGTCACATCAACTATTTCTGTGCCCATGTTACACAGTCCATGCCAAAATATTAGATTTCTAAATCCTGAATGAAGAGCAGATTATGCAAATATAAACTTAAGGACAGAGAAAGCTATTCCTGATCAATGCCACTTCTGCATATTTTTACCAAGAATAATATTCAATTAATCTGCTCTCTTATTAATAATAAATTCAGAATACATATTTAAATGCATCTGTTTTCCTCTCAAAAATATATTTAAATAAATATTGTGATGAATTAATACAGCCGAAATCTGTATCAAAACAATCAGAGAAAACTGTTGAAAATTGATGCTCTTTTCTACACATTAGTCTGGGAGGAGCAGAACATGTTGCAAGGATGCCAGACCACCGCATCCCCAGACAGCTCTTCTGGTGAGCTGTCTCAAGGAAAGCGATTGCACCGGGGACAAAAGAAGTGATTCAAAGAAATGCTGAAAGCCTCTCTCAAGTCCCTGGTTATCGACACCACCTCCTGGGAGACCCTGGCACAAGACCAATCAACATGGCGCACACTGATCCACCAAGGCTGCCAAACATCTGAAGCCAGAAGGACAACCATAGCACAAGAGAAGCGAGCACTCCGTAAAGCCAGAGTTGCAAATGTTGCAACAGTGGTGCCCACACATGTCTACCCGACATGTGGCAGAACACTCTGTGCCCATATCAGCCTTATCAGCCACCTGCAGACACACCGTGGACAGCTCACAACCCGTTAGATGTCAAGGTTCTCATCGAAAATGATGGACGAACATCATAGCCAATATCAAGTTCTTCAAATATCAAATTCAGATGGAGGGTCAAAAATACTGTCAAGCCCTGGAAATTGGTCAGTGTTTGTGTTTGCCATCAGTGCTACATCTCCCTCAAGGGAGGAAGGAAAATGTGGCACCCTTTATGCTGGATTTCTTCAACTACAATATGGGCAAGATTTGCAAAATACACTGGCCAACTTAGCACTATTATGAGGAAGGGGAAAAAACAATTTTATAATCTGCTTCAGGTAGCAGAAGCAATCATATTATAAAAATCTTTATTGCATAACTGAACATGTTAAGCATATCATGTACAACAAATACCATATTTGTTCTGCAAAGTTAAGGACAGAATGCTTTGGATGTCCAGACACATTCTGGTTCCTGAATCCTAGCTGAGCAAATCATGAACTCCATCCTAGAGTCATAAAGGAAATGGAGGAAGAATGCTCAGAGTAATTGTCTATTACCTTTGAGAAATCATGGAATGGAGAGGAAGTGCCAGATGACTGGAGAAGGGCTAATGTTGTCCATGTCTACAAGAAGGAAAAGAAGAAGAACCTGGGAACAACATACCAGTCAGTCTGACACCAATTCCTGGGAAAATCTGGAGCAGATTATAAAGCAGTCAGTCTGCAAACACCTTGAAAACAATGCAGTGATTAGTGGAAGCCCACATGGATTTCACAAAAACAATTCCTGCCAGAGTAATCTGATTTTGGTTTTTGACTGGTTAACCTTCCTGGTGGACTGTGGGAATGCTGTGGACATAATATATCTTGACTTCAGCAAAGCTTTGCACAAAGTACCCCATGAAATCCTGATTAGCCAACTAGTTAAAAGTGAGCTAGATGGAACAACTATCAGGTGGATCCACAGTTGGCTTTTCAAACATGGAAGAGGTAACAAGTTGGGTACTGCAAGATTCAGTCCTGGGCCCAGTGCTCTTTGACATTTTTATTAATGAATTGGATGAGAAAGAGATCATTTATCATATCTGAACATGACACAAAACTAGGTAAGATAGCTAATACCATGAAAGACAGAAAAAAAGATTCAAAATTATATTGATAGGTTGGAGCACTGGTTTGAAAACAGCATTATTAAATTTATTAGGAGAAATGTCAAGTTCTGCACCTAGAAAAAGCAATTAAATGCATTGTTACAAGACTGGGAATGCTTGCTTCAAGGATACTGAGAGTGAGAAGGATCTTGGAACGATTGCAGATCACAAACTGAATATGAGTCAACAAAGTGATATGTCTGCAAAAAAAGGGCAAATGCTATTTTGGACTGCATTATTAGGGGGTACCACTTCCGATTCACATGAAGTACTAGTTCTCCTTTTCTCAGCACTGGCTAGCTTCATCTAGAATACTGTGTCAAGTTCTGGGCACCACAGCTCAGGAAAGATGCAGACAAGTTGGAAAGGGGAAGGCAACAAGGATGATCGAAGGAGTGGAACCAAAGCCCTATGAGGAAAGACTGAAACAAATGGGCATGTTTAGCCTCAAGAAGTCTGAGGGGAGAAATGATAGCACTCTTCAAGTAACTAAGAGTTGTCACAAAGAAGGCCAAGATCTCTTCTTGATCATCGCAGAGTGCACCACATGGCATAATGGGCTGAAGTTACAGGAAGCCAAGTTCTG